AGAGATCTGCCATAGCAAACTCAGCCTTGCCCTCTGTAGCCAGCACACAACAGCAGAGGCAAACTCCAGAGGAAATTCCAGACTTACGGAAGAAGCTACAGAAGACCTTAAGGTGAGGCCCTGACATGAAACCCGAGACCAAATCCATCCCTGGCATATGTGGGTCCAGGCAGGGCTTTAATAATATTCTCTGCACTGCCTCATGCCAGAGCTGACTTGTGTCCAAAAAGTGCACCACAGCGAAGGAGAAACATTTTCTCATTGCAGAGGGATCGATTTCACACACTTCTGATTTTTCTCTCTTGTTTAGGAGCCTCGGCAGTACCTACCACTCCCTACCATTTGGGTAGGGAATACTGGTTTCTTAGAAGTGTTCCTCTTTAGTGGTACCCATTGAGATTTACTGTATTGTACAGCATTGGTTGCGCTTACTGCTGTAGTCCTACCCAACTAGTTCATGTTCACCTCACTAAATCCTGGTCCCATGGAAATCTTGGGCCACGCTGCCTTTCCCTTCCCTGGGACCAATAGATGGTCTATCTACACTGTCTTCCCAGTATGTAATTTATGACGCCTCTGAATGTAGCTTTTTTACAAGTGCAAAAAGTGAACGTAAGGAGACAAGGTTCTTTGGGTGATCTGATATTTTTTATTAGACTAACTTAAAAAGTGAATGTAATGCAGTCTTAAGAGATACCTGTGAAACTTAGGTGTATGAATGCATCACTGAATTTTTTAAAATAAACACATAATGAGTTCTTTCCCTTTCAGGACTCCTAGCATCTTACTTGTTATTGTCAGCCTTCCCTGAACGTCCTTTGTTTCACGAACGTTATTCGAGAACAGAGGTGCCTTGACATTGCTGCATTCCTTCAGGTCCAGTCTCTGGCCTATAGTCTATGGTCCTGCTTTCTATCTCACTAATACAGGATAAAATCAGGAGTGACTTCCAGTTAAGTTAATATAGTAATCTCAGTGCCAAAACTAGTGTGAATAAAAATTAGGCCCAAGGCTATTGAAGTACATGAAGTTCCTAAATAAGCATGAATCAGCAACCCTGATGCTGGGGTATGATCCAGTAAAATAAAGACAGTCTCATTTCCATTCATATCAGTGTAGAAAACTCACTTAATAGCAGTTGAAGAAAACTCACTTAATAGCAGTTAGCTATGTTTACTTGCAGAGACCAGACGGGTCAAGGAGTTGGGATAACAAAGCATTTCACTTCTAGGTCACACATTCTAATCCAGTCCAGGTTGGTAATAAATTAATTATATCACCTGATGGCTGATTGCCATCCTACCTGGTGGTATTCAGTCCAGTTCCTTATGGAAGCAAGTTCACTTCACAAATCTACCCCACTGGCTGGCACCAATTTGTTCCCCGTTTTTGACAATCAGAAGGTTGGCTGAGGACTGAATGGTCCATGGAGACTGAATTCCTTTGTCACCTTTCAGGTCAGGGTCACAGTGTGGGGGAGATTTGTCCTGTCACTAGCTGTGCTGTACCTGCTCTGTGGACAGAGTGGCTTTCATTAGTCAGGGCTATGGGCCCAACAGCTTTCACCAAAGTGAAAGCCATTTCTAAAAGAAATAGAGAAATGTTTAATTGTGATTGATATATATACACACTGTACGGTCTGAACTTTACACACATCACAGATAACAACATCAGAATTAATGTCTGTTTCCTAGTTGTCTCGCTATAAGCAATAAATGTTTGGCCAGTCAGTAAATAACAAAACTCTCATGTGGCCATCTACAGGTCACCAAGATATTTAAGAAGTTTGCATTAATTATACCATGTTTGCCATCAAAGAGGGAACATTAACTCGTTCATGCTGTGGCAGGGAAACAGTTTGCTCATTCAAGGAAAGGAGAGATTAATTAAAGAAAATGCAGCCATTAAAAATGCAGCCTTTGCAAATAAAAATTGTTGGAGGCAAAGCCACACCAGAAATCTCCGAAAGTAGGCTACCTTTTTCAGCTTTCATTCTGTGCATTTCGTATTTTGAAATCAAACACTCCCTGTAACCTAATCTACTTGGCTTTTGATGTGGCCGTAGAGACATGACAATTAAGCTCGGTTTAAAACAGTAATCCCAACAACAGGAACCAAAGGCAAGTAATGTCAGGGAACCTGTCAATGAGAAACTGTCCCCCAGCGTTTAGTTGCTGTTAAATGAGTTTAAATCTAGATTTGTTGCCTTGATCTCCGCTCTGTGCTTATACATCGCACTGCACTTTGAACATTTCCAGTTTTCATTCTCTGCTGTTTGTCTTTCTTCCCCTACGTAGAATGTTTCAATACAAATATGATACATGCAATACGGAAAGACATTTTGATCTTTCACCAATTACTACCCTCCTATGGAAATAGGATCTTTTGTTACTTGTATCTCAGTAACAATCAAAGACTCCAGTCAGGATGAGGACCCTCTTGGCCTAAGAACTGTATAAACACCCAGGAAGACCTATTCCACACAAGGTACCTGTCCTCCCAGTCCACCGCCCTCATTTGACAAGCTGATCCATAACGGCACAAAGTTACTTCTGAGGAGAGTTAGTTACAGGGCCAGAGCTTAATGTAGGGCAAGAGACAACCAAAGTGCATAGCAAACAATAGGAACAAGTGGCTCAATGTCTCTAAATCATTGTAAAGTGTTTTAAATTAAATAATATTAAAATCTCCTGTTCCCCCCTCAGACTAGCCACCACCAGCCGGTTCATTTCTTTCAGACATCACAGCGGGGTGAATGTCTTTAAAGATTTGAAGAAGGGGAATAACAGCCTTTCAGATATAACCCAATTTTAGATCTGTTTTATGGTTGGTTTGTTTCTTTTTAAATAAAAGTTGCAAAGTGAACTTGAATGGTATCTTTGCCATCAACCACTTTTTATTGGTGTTTGCATTAAGCCTTGCTAAGCAAGTTAGTGAGATGATTAATTCCTTCGAACTGGAAGCCTTGTATCTGTTAGAGGCACTCTGAAGCAAATCTATAGCATCTCTAATATTTTTATTTGCAAGCATTGCTCACAAGCAGAGCCAGAGGTGAGGCTGCAGGTTTAGAGAGACAATGATGGAAAGTGCATGAATTTGCTAACAGCAACTGGGGTTATTTTCCTTAATCTGTAAACAATTATACGTCAGCCTGCTTCTACTGAAATGAGAAGCAGAATTCCATGGATTTCAGGGGGAGCAGGATCACATCTTTCACCTGTTGTTCAACTTCTGCTTTAACAGGAGAGGTGCCAACCCCCGGGTTCCCTCCCTGAAGTCTGTGGGAGTTGCAGGTGCATCTCTTCCTACTAGTTCCTTAAGTAGGTCAGAGGCATACACCTGGATTAAACCAGTCCTCAGAGCTGTAACCCTGCGACAGCTGCTTGTGGCCTGGGCGCAATGTGTTGGTGCCTTTGTCCTGGCACACTGGTGTCAATCACACGCACCACAGCTGGAACTAACTGCCCTTCTTAGCAGTCTCCACTGAGGCTCTGCTCCCTTGCCATCCTCAGAGGGCACCATCAAGGGCAGGGGTGAGGCACAGTGACAGGGAAGAATCTCCCAAAGAAGCTATCCTTGCTGTTGCCTGTACTACATCTTATCTCTAGGGACACAGAGAACAACTTTGGTCTCTAAGTCTGTCAGACACCGGTGTTGTTGCCCCCTCCATGTCAGTCACAGCAGAAAACTCCTTGGTGATCCTGGAGCAGGGAACAAGCCTTATTCAGCACCCACTGCAGGATTTCTTTTTTATTTTAAACCTCACACCCCAGGTTGTTAAGTGATATGGATGCTGTGCTGGATTTTAAACTGGTTTAGAATCTGTAATATATTTAAAGGGTGTGAACTTACATCAACATAAAACCCTGATAATGCTCTTTTGTACTTAACATTTTCTATATTAAAAGTCATTCCAAAGCTATTTTTCCTTAACCACATTAACCTTTTTGCAATATTGATTGCTGAGGCTTCACACAGTTTAAAATTAATAATTCCACTGGCCTTCAGCACCCCATAAATATTCTATCCCTTCCCTAACAAACTATAGGCTTAGTGGCATGAAACAGGGCACAAATTACTTTCACAAAAAGGTATTTTATTATTCTTAGCAGGATTCACCTTGAAGGAATATGAGTAAAGCATACACTTTTTACAGACAATATATAAACATGTTGTACATAATTAACAATAACTTAGTTCACTAATTCAAAAATAAGCAAAATTAAAAAAAATAAAAATAAAACCAGAAAATACTGCAGAATTTTTATGCTGATACAGGTAAAAATAATTTAAATCTTGACTGCTGTTGTCTATGCTGCAGTGACTGACAATATATTGCACTTTGTCAACAGTATATCAGTAACCCTTCTTCTGCCCCAGAACCCTTCCCTCCCCCCTCAAAACCTACAGAAATTTGAGCTGGGTACAAATAATGTACAGCTGTACCATAGTAAAAGACAAAAAGTTAAAAGGACCAAATTTTGACTCAGTAGATTACAAATTCTTACTGTTTCTCCCAACAATTTTTTCCCATTCATTTATTTCCACTTCTTTACAAAGTGCAGCTATATGCCTACAGAGACCAGAAGGAGGAGGAAAGCAGGATATCCATGGCTGCTTGGTCCTTAGTTCATTATCAAATATTTGAATTATATATTTAGAAAAAAAAATGTACATCCATTTTGTATGTTTCTTTAAAGCAGGACTTTTGCAGTAAAATACAATTGGCGTGATGAAAAAAAAGTCAAAGTTAAAAAAAAAAAAAGCTTGTCACAGAGTTAAGCTTACGTGGTTTACATTATCAAACCCCTCTGCTCATTGGGGCATTTTCATCAGAAGTATAGCTAAATATGTACATCGTATGTTATACTGGAGTTTGTGTTCATGAGAGGCATCAGATCATAACAATCAATAGAATACACTTCACATTGGCAATAGCTTTGTTTTCGGTTGTTTACATACAATATGGTTTAATAATGGGACATTTTTAATTTTTTTTTTAGTTATTTTTTTTAAATATAAAATGTGCTCCGGAAAACAGTCGTTCCCCTTAGAACGTCACCGTCCCTTCACCTCATCAGCTGTTACAGCGGCTGGGATTTGAAGGATGTGTGAAGCTGAAACTGATTGTCTCTCTCTTTCTCCCCTCCAGTGATCTTAACCTAAAACTTCTGCCCTTCCTCACTCCCGAATGTGAAGTCCGCTGAGGGGCTGGCATGCCCACAGACAGCTTGTGCTCCGGCTTCTCATGGACTTTGTAGCCAGATTATGGTGAGTATACCACAGGCAGCTAGTCTACATCTTAAATTGACAGCTGCCAACAGAACAAAATCAAAATGCTTCAACCTCAAGAGTTTTTGAATGGGATATTTTTCTGCCCTATGCTGGTTTTTGCGGTTGCTGACAGACTTTTAGAAGTTAGATGGGACAGGTTCATAAGAGCCCCTGTCACTCAGTCCCAGCCAGTGCAAGATTGTTTTCTACAACTGTATTTTTCAGTGATTTATCCTATTGAGTTGCCTAGTTTGGGGATAACTTTTTAAAAATAAAATCTTTTATGTTAAGGAAAAAAAATGTAAGAATGATGTCAAAATAATCTGCATCTTGGGCTCATTACAAATCGCCTATCACAGCTACATTTTTGCTTTGTTTTCTTCTCTTGTATCCTTTACCTAGCAGATATTTTTTGTATGTAAAACCGATGAAGGAGAGTCAAGGGGTAGTTGTTTAGCACTGTGCTTTTCCTGTTATGAATCTGTTTTCTAGCAGGGCAGACATTCATAAAAAAAACAAAAAACAAATAACAAACAGAAAAAGAAAAAGCACAAAAACATGCAAGTCAGAAGATTTGAGGCTCTCAGAGGAAAACAGGAGCAAAATAAATAATAACTTTCTGTGTCTGATTCCTTGTTAAAAATTAAGCTTCTATAAAGTTGTCCTTTGTTTTTCCCTCCCCCAAACAAAGTCAATGATAGAAATCCAGCATGGGTGGCTACCAGCCTCTCTTCTGCCATGGGGGCTGTTAATTTCTTTACAATATTCACAGTAATAACAAAGAGAGAAAGGAGAGCCAGTTCCAGCTTCTTTCTTCTGCTGCTTCTGCCACCTTTCGTTTTTCGCTGGACCAGTAGGTATCAAACAGGTGAGTTCTTCTTTTTCCTTATACCTGAGGGGGCAAAGTGCATATAGGCACCATTAAGCGTTTCTGCAGAAGACCCATAATTGCAAAGTTTTTAGTCCAGCGCTAAGAATTGAACCACACTGGAGCAAGATCCCTTTTTTTCCTTCCTTTTTTCTTCCCTACATTCTCCTCTTGGCAGAATCTTTTCTTACATGTTGTCATTTTAGGCAAAGCCCCATGTTCTTAATCTCTGTGCGGGTCTCTTGGTCTTCAGATTCTATCCCATAGCTGTAACCATGCTGGATGGATGTGGATGTCCAAATGAGATGCTGGAAGATGGGTGGATGGGGGTAGGGGTCGGTAAGATGTGTCCAGAGTGGCTAAAAGGTGGCAAATGCCCCATTGGAGCCATGTGACTGGCAAGGGCGGCAGCGCTGAATGGAGACGATTTCTCTTGCATGCACTTGGACAGTTCCTCAAAACACTCTGAGCCTTTCTTGCTTTTCTTTGATTTGTTGGACATTTTCCTATTCCTGGTCTGAATTCCTTCCTTTTTCATGGTCAGAGGCCTGTTCACCTGCAAGAAATGAGAAAATCAGGCTCATGCAGACAAAATGACCTTATTGTGCAAAAATGAAAATATTTGGACAGCCCCTGTGTGTTTTCCTGGACGGAGACTTTCTTCTAGCCAAAAAAAATGGTCTCTCTCTCTCAGATCTTGTTTATATTGATTTGTTTAATGAACGCCCCCCCCCCCTTTCCCCCTCCAAACATGAAAAACAAGTTGGACTGAATTTGGCAGCTTAGAGCTATCCTTCCCTCAGGCTTACCCTCAGACCCCCATACATTTCCTAATAGAAGAGATCAAACAAGGCAGCACACACTGACCCAAATTCACTTCTAAGACAGAAGCAGCTTCGTCTCAGCAAAGCTTCAGCCTCCATTATTTAAGAGTTTAAATAACATCTGTTGTGTCAAATGAATCCTGCTTGTATCCCTCTCTTTTTTTAAAATTTGAATATAATATTAAAAGCATATCTTCACAATGATACAGGAAAATGCCCCACTGGGATTACCCTTTGCACAGAATCCATTTTAAATAGCCTCTGCATTTCTACAGGGGACAGCACACAAGGCATGCTTCATTAAAACAACCAAGTGTTGTAACTATTTTGCCTGATTTGCCCAAGCTTTGGAAGCCAAGCTAATACATTGTAATGTCAGTGAACTTAGCATCACTATGCCAACAAAGAATGGCTGTGACTCCCCAGGGGAACCTTGCAGGGGGAAAAAAAAAAATCTTCTGAAACCAATAAAAGGTCAGGGCACACCATGCAGTTGAGGCATCAATCCCAGCTAAGCAAGCAGAGACACACACAAGACAAGCAAATACTCACATTGTGCAATTTATAGTAAAGTCCACAGGCATTACATACTGGGTCCCCATTTGCATTACGTCGCCATAAGGTGGTAGTGGTCGTCTGGCAGTTGGCACAACAGGTCCCTGCTCTCCTAGCTGCTGACTAACCAAAAATAAAAGGGAGAAATCAATAATGTATCTGGTAGGGAAGTGGGGGGGAAACTTACTTTAAAGGTCAAGTTAGGCCCAACATTTTGGATTCGTAACTAAGCCCAAGATTTTACAAAATGTATAGGGCTGGAGAAATGTTACTGCGGTTTTTTTAATGTTTCTGTTTAAATTTCAGTACACCCCTGTGGTGTCTGCAACCCAAACAATGTGAGGTGGTGTTAGTGCATGAAAGCCAGACAGGGAGACGGAGCGGTCTCTCTGAATAGACGATGCAAAAAATAAAAGAATGTTAAAATCGGGGAGAGAATAAACTTGATGCTTAAAATTAAAAGCTTTCCTTCCTGATCTTGGGGATGGCGGGGGGGAATGTTTTTATTTTAAACATTCTTCCTATTATCTATTTGGTGCTAAAAAGACCAGTCTTCATTTTTAGAACGTGATTTCTAATCTGACACTGTCCCTTGAAAGAAGGCACAAAAGAAAAACAACTGCATTACTTAAATGGGTGCTGTATTTATCAGAGCCATCACTAAAATTTCAGTTTCCATTTACAAATGAAAGGGAAAAAACAAAACCGGCTCCAACTTTCTTTAAATATTTAGCAAACCAAATCTCATGCCCCGCAGCAATGAGCCTGCTGACTGTACTACTATTGCCTCAGTCTCTGCTCATTTTCTACACTGACAAGCCCCAAAATGATCATCTTTTAAAAATGTGATACCTTTAATCATATTGGCCTGCTGAACCCTTAAGGAGGGGAAAAGAAAACAACCTTTCAGCCTTCCAAAATGAACTCTGCTATATAGGCAAAAATGTAAATGTGAGCAAAATATCCCTTGTTTTCAGGACAGGACCATAGCTGGGAGACCCTACAAAAAAACACACCCAAGATGCTAGGGTGCCCACTCAGAAAAATGTTGAGTCTGGACAAAAAGCTCAGGGGAACCCTCCTGAGGAAGGTGCTGGGGCTCTCCATAAAGCACACCCCGTTTTGTGCAGTTCTGAGAATTTGGAGGACTGAGCATTTCTTTTTGCAAGTATTTCTAACATGGCTAAAGTGCAATAATCTCCCAGGAGCCCTCCTCTGGAAGGATTTTTGTAACTTGGGGTGAGAAAAACTGCCCATTCACTGACTCAAGCTTATGATGCTGCTCTAGAGGCATTGAGCCTCTTGCAGATCCTATACTGAAACCACTTGGTTTCCCTTCACTAGGGGACTTTTTACACTTTGCTCTGCCCATCTCCTGCAATGGAGAGTGGTCCAGATAGCAAAATACAAATTGATCATGCTCCGAAGACTGGCCTGATCCTGTTCTCCCTGCTACTTTGCTTATGTCAGAAACTGAAGCTGCTGGAATATTCAGTAGCACAAAATCAGAATCAGGCCCTAGTGAGGTTAGCCCTCTGCTAGCCTAGAAGAACAGAGCCAGAGGCCAGAGCAGAGGTTGGGTGGATCCCCATTTATACATGCACATACATGCAAGCCAAGAGGCCTCTGGGTTTTGAAAATAGTTTTTGAATGCGCGCTAAGAAAAGTTATCATTATTAATAAACTCCTAAATGAACAGAGGAGTCTTCTGTCCCACACGCATGAGCAAGTCAAAGAGAAACAAATATAAAACTAAACATTTAAGATAAAAACAAGAACTCCCCCCTCTGCCAAAAAATAAAAGTTCCCCAACCCCCTTGGCAGTAAGTTTAAGTACAACAGTCTCCCAGCGCACTAGAAGGTGGAGAGCTATGTTTGCATATTTGAGATGGCTTATTGATACTGAACTATGCTGCTTAACTCTGTGGACTGTCCTATTCAGTCTGGCAAGGACTTGAGCCTGCAAGATGATAATGTTACACTGTTGTCTTAACATTTCTCTATATGTCAGTCACCTTAGAAGGAAAGCAAGTCATTAAGAAACTTGCATAGCTGAAATTCTGACTCACTATAGAAATCCTCTGTATCCCATCCCAGCATTAGATCATTAATGCTGGTCTCTTCCCTTTCCCGCCTCCCCTGCAACCAGTCCCAGTAAAATGGCCCCCAAATGGCTAAAAGATTTGGGCACTATAAATCACATGGTTCTGAAAAAAAATATATTTATTATTCTTAGCATTTTACTCATTATTTGTGGAGGAGAGTGTATTAGAAATTTCAAAACAGCGAGCATGACTGGCATGCCTTGCCTATAGAAACTCTCTAAAGCTTTTAGAGTCAGGAAACAGATACACAAAGTTTCCTTATCTTTAACGTACAGATATCCGGATAGGAAACTACTACCAGGAGCTTAGAAAGGACATTTTTTTTAATCACTCAAATGAAAATAAAAAGTATAGGTGACTCCATGGAAAAATAATAGGATTTTTTTTTTTAAACATCAGGGGATTGTCTGAGGAGGGAACCAATATTAATATTGTTAGGGACTATAAGAGTAAATCTTACTTCATGGCCTTTAAACAAATAATTATTAAGTAGGGAGCCTTGGCTTTGACTCCTATTTTCTTTTCTTTCTGTTTTGTTTTTTTGGGTTGGGATTTCTGTTTAATCCCAACATGTTCGAGGGTATTCATGCCCGTAACCCTTTCAATTCCGGTACATTTCTGAACTGTCCCAAGAGGCCAAATATAAGAGAAATGAAATCAAGGCTGTCATCGGAGGTTAAAGTTAGGCATTCATAAGGAGAAAGAGAGACTTGTTGTCCTGCACATTTTCCATCAGGAATGAAGTCTAGGAATATAAGCTAGCTTGCAAGCCTGCCCACATTCTATACCTTGGCATGTAACTGCTATGGGTGGAGTCCCTGAAATCTGCCCTGAGGCTTTGCTGTGACCTCTGAGTGACATGAATCTCCTGTACAGTACATCTAGAATCCATACAGGGTCTGAAGCAAAGGAGAGGAGACACATTATGCCTGTCTGTGTGTGGTCCCTTTGCACAATTTATCCCCAAGCCCAGCAAAGACAGAGACACCTACCAGTCTTCGTTTAGGTTTAATAAGAGGTCGGTTTTGACCGTTCATTTTGTGGTAGAGCCCGCAGGCGTTACACAGGTAATGCCCAGTGCCGTCTCTTCTCCAGAGAGGGGTGGCAGTAGCTCCACAGTTCACACACTCTCTGCCTTCTAAATGGAAACACGAAGAAACCGGATTTCTTTCTTTAAAAACAAATTCACAAGAGCTTTTTGCATTGTCCTTTAGGCATCTTCCAGAAGTCAAAACAGTGTGTTATTCAAGCTTAATCAGACAGCAGTGACATCTACAGCACATGCAACAAGGGTCTAACGTTGCCCAGTACACCCAGCCTCCGACTAGCAATTTATGCCATCAGAAATGGGCCACTCTCTCGGCAAGGTGAGAAAGAGTGACACTCTTATTGTGTCAAATGGAACTTCTCATTTCAGTAACAAGAACTGCCTTCCTCTGTGCTGAGCGCAGTCCCTCATCCCCTCTCCATTGTACCTCTACAGTAAGATCAGATGTTGTACTGCCACACACATTTGCGCTCTCTCGCGCACACACACACACAAAGCAAGCAGTTTGAAGGTGTGGGGGAGGGAAAGAATTGTCTGGAATTGAATACAAGGCAGAAAGACCCCCCCCCCCCATCTCCCTCCCTTCTCGATACATTTTTGTTCTAATACAAAAAGAAAAAAAATTAAGCAAGCCAGTTTGGAACTGGAACCAGAAAATAAATGGCTCAGGAATTATAGCATAAAGCTGTTTGAAGTGCAGCTGGACTTTATTTTGAGAAACAGGTTCCCCCCCCCCCCCCCTTTTTTTTTCATGCTTTACTTTTTAACAGTATAATTTGGGCAGGGGGCGGTTGGCCTGTTACTATTTCCTTATTAAGTCTTTGCTGAGCAGCAGAACTGCACGCAGAGCGGCCCGACTAGACCAGAACACACAGCTCCTTAGATAGAGGCTAGCTTCTGCCTCAGAAAGCTATTTACTGCAAGTTCACTGGCCTCTGATGGTTCCAGGGCAGGTCTGCTTAATATAGGAAATTCACTTAATATAGTTTATGCAAATGGTACAGTATTTAGCTGCAGAGGAAATTCTCTTTTGCTATTAACTGGAGCCGGCCACGCTGAGTTCAGCAGGGCTTGTGTCTCCTTTAATCTTGGCAGTGGGTGGCTTTCAAACAACACAGTCTGCAGTGAAAAATGAGGGGAGCTCTGCAGAGCTGCGTTCCTAGCTTTTGTCCCTCCTAGGGCAGGAAGCTGCAGGAGTCGTCGTGTCGTGAGTCTTAGTTTTCCTACAAAAACACTGAGTGGTCACGAACTTTCCCTAGTTCCATACACAGGGGGCTCCCTTAAAAAAAAATCCCTCATTTCCCCCATCTAATAAAACCCTGGGCAGCTCAGGGGGAGAAAAAAAAAAAAGAGAAAGAAAGGGAAAAAAAAGCCATTAAGGATCCATTTATCTGCCGTTGACTGCTGTGTTTGGGAGCTGTTTCCAAAAGCAGAAGGCTGGGGTGCTAATTGTAATTGAATTTTCTTTTGAGTGTTTTAAAAAAACCAAACCAAAACCCCAAAACAAAATGAAAACAAGAACAGGGGATATTGGAGGGGGGAGTATATATTTTTCCTTCCTAAAAAGGGTCATCTGAAATGGGAGCTGATGAAGTTGTAAAATAGATGATATTTTTGTTGCACAGCACATAAAAGAGATCAGGTTTCTGAATTACTGGCTGAATGACTGTTGTTTTTTTTTTTAAAGAGGTGTTTTTTGTGTGTGCATATATATGTATTTATATATGAAATACATAAATATATGAACCATCTACAGCTAGCTGGCTGGCTGGATACACCTATATAAATATGCCCACAAAGATATATCCCTTTTTTTTTAAAGCCTCTCAAGACTGTCCCACTACACAGGATTTGATTTTCCCTTCACCTCTGAGAATGGAAAACAAGGACAATTATTAGAAATTCTCAGCACTTCCTTACCCGGGTCTAGAAATACAACTGGTCTGATGGCAGGGGGAGATCGACAACTTCAGTGATCAGCGAATTAGCTAGTTTTTGAAATGCAGGTTTAGGGACAAACTGTATCCCGAGGGTACTGAAGGTGGGAATGATCTGCGATCCTTTTGGAGCAAGCAGGGCTCTGAGACAAGGGAGGATCGCGTTTGATCTCCTAGCTTTTAGTGTTTTTGGCGTGGAGGGAAGCCAGCGATTGCTCGGCACCTTCAGCCCTCAGCCCTGGTATGTAAACTATATCTGAACTTTTGCTCCATTCCGGATCCGAAGGAAACCGAGGCCCTCTTCGGCTTCAAGCAACCGGCCTGGTAAGTTTCGCTTTCAAACGCCTGGTTCAGCTCGGGAAGGGGAAGCACCGGCCTGGTCGCGGATCAGCCAAGATGCCATTAACGATCCGGCAACAAAAGCAGCTCGCTAGAGATTCCCCCGCCCAGCCGGTGCTCAAGTACAACCCCGGGGTCTGGTCCAAATTTCCAGCGGTCACAACGAGCCCGGGCCCTTCTTTCCGAGCCAGACTTATTTCCCCGCATGACCCCCAATTTGCACAACTGAGATCCGCCAGGGTTTCTTCCCCGCCGTGCTCCGTCTGTCAGAGCCGGCGCTGAGAACCAGGAGCCAGTGCCTGCACCCTGCTCCAGCCAGCCAGGCAGCAGGGAGTCGGAAAAAGCCCCCGATCAAGGAGAGGGCAGACGGGAACGCTCCCGAGCTCCTTCCCCTGAGCTCCAGAAAAGGAAGGGACAAAAAAAAAACCCTGCTCCGACTGCGACCCCAAAGGAGAGTTTGCCACGCACACGCAGACACGCACACACGCCCCGCCACACGCGCAGGCAGGCCCGGGAGAGGGCGCGGGGCTCACCTGAGCACGACCTCGCCTTGCTCCTCTGCTTGGGGGTGAAGCTGGAGGCCGGGCCGCCCAGGAAGCCGCCGGGGTGGAAGAGGCTGCTGCTGTAGTCGTGGGCGGCGGGCACGTAGGACGGGTAGGTGGGGATGGGGTGGTGGGTGGAGGGCTGCGCCCCCATGGAGCTCAGGCTGCTCCGCAGCGGGCTGGCGCTCTCCACCTTCATGCCGTCCGCCAGGGACACCTGGTACTTGATGCTGTCCTTCTCCTCCTGCCGGGCGCCGGCCGAGGACGAGGAGGGCGAGGCGGCGCTGGTGGAGCTGGGGTCCGGGGACACCTCCTTGGGCGGGGGGGGCGGGGAGCCGAAGAGGGGCGA